GCACCGAGCAGTCTTGTAGTATATGCGTCGTGGCGGGCGCTGTCTGGCCACGCCGCTCGGGAAACGATCTACTACAGTGGGTGCGTTGTTTAAGGAACGTGTACGGGAGGCTTCAAACCCTGGAGGTTTCCTCATCTGATGAGTGCGGCGGCAATATCCACTGCCAATCCGCGATTGGAGTTCCGCTGGCTTCCAGACCCTGGATTCCTTATCCAGTGCTTCCTTATCCAAGGCCCTCCTCGTGCAAAATGGGTATACTAGATGTTCGGGTCGGACGTGCGCCTCCAAGGAAAGCACACAGTACTAGTATGTCTTTGTGCGTCCCATTCTGTGCCGAGCCTTAAGTCGGGCCTGTCCCTCTACAGGGGGAATATGCAATAATAGTAAGAAAATAGTGTTGGGACGATGTCTCGACTATGTTTGCGCATGTTTTTTGCAATCGTCCCAAATCCGCCTGTAGGAGCACGTGCCCGACCTATGCCGAGCCCCTCCTCGACCCGGGCTTGGCATCGCTCGGAGGTGTGTGCGCCGTTTCTCGGCGAGGACCACCGAGGCGCGCATCCCAGGATTCTCCCCGAGCAGCACAAGAGGAAGCACACCCGCACGAGGCCGACAGGTGCTCGGGGCATGGGCGTCCGAGCGATGGCGAGAGGGGCGGGGGGCAATCGTGTTGGGTCCGAGGCTGGAGGTTTTCGGACCGCGCCCTCGGCCCTCGGCGGCTTCCTGGCCTCGGGGGTGCCTTCCAGCGGCTGCGCCTCGCCGAGAGGCCTCCCGGGGGTGCCCAGATCGTCCCGAGCGATGGCGAGAGGGGTGGGGGGTCGAAGTTTCGGGTCCGAGGTTTGGAGGTTTTGGGACGTTGCGCTCGGCCCTCGTCGTCGTCGTCGTTGTTGTCGTCGTCGTCGTCCTGGGCGGACTCTTTGGACGCCGCTGCGAGAACTCTCGAGGCGTCGCTTCGCTGAGGACGCCACTGTGAGGACGACAACGCCGCACTAGAGGACGACCACGTGGCCCTCGGGGGTGCCTTCCAGCGGCTGCGCCTCGCTGAGAGGCCTTCTGGGGGTGCCCGGATCGTCCCGAACAGCCGACGGAGAGCGTCCCTTCTATTCTTTAAGTCCGGCATGCCCCTCTACAGGAGGAAATATCAAACAGTAGTCAAAAAATAGTCAGGTGACGATTTTTCGACTTTCTGACTATTTCTCAGTCTGTTTGACTATTTTCCATTTGTCCTCCAATATCTGCCTGCAGGGGGACATGCCCGACCTACCTCTACGCCTCATCCTGGTCCTCTGCCTCCTTCATCCCCGCTCCCGCGCCCTTGCGTCATGATCAGCTGCGGTTTCGGTCTCGGATCATCTGCTCATTTGGGATGGTCTGACAGCCGCCTCGTGTCGATTGTCCTCTCGGCGTGTGGCTGTCAGCGTTTTGCCGTTCCGCGCGTGCCGTCGAGCACCCCTGGTGACGTATTTGTCCGAGGAGGCGGCGTGCACCGTGCAGGTGCGCGTTCCTCTTAATGCCAACTGCTGTCGCGCACGACCTGTCGTGCTCTTCCAGTTCTGCCACCATCGCCTCTTCGGCGCAGTCCACTCTGATGCATACGTGTTATTATGTTGGCAGCACGACCAGGCATGGCCGCGACGATTGCTTGATTGCTTGATTTGGATGTGTGGGGAAAAACCTTGAGATGTTGTTGGCGAAGTCCCTCGCGAAGTGCAGCTTCCTCCCTGCGTTTGTCCCCCTGATGCTGGGCGGCATTCGCGGCTCTCTGCCCCTCCCTTTGCCCCTCCCTGCGTCCCCTCCCTCCCTGCCCCCCCCCGGAGGCAGACCCAGCGGTGCCGCCGCTGACGCCCACCCAGTACCTGCTGATCTCCAGCCCCGCGGAGTCGAAGATCGTGAGCGCCGTAGCTTGGTTGTCAACCTTATGAGCAGCAGGTAATCGTTTCTGTATTCGTTCTTTTGCCGATCGGCGCGGGCCTTCGCCCCCCCCCTCCCCCACCCCCTGTGGAGTAGATCTTGGCTGTTTTTGGCGCCTGTTTCGAGCAGGTGGAGTCTCCCCCATAGGACGCACGGTCCCAAACAGTCGCACTAAGCAGAGGTCTGGAGCCAGACCACCCCCCTCCCCCCCCTTATGCCGCCCAATGTCGAAACGCCAAATAAAAAACGCTCACCAGCATGGGCATGGCGCGTGGATGGTATGTTTCTGGCCCAGGGGAGCGACCCGTAAGGCAGAAGTGAGTAGTTGCAGTAATAACAACGATCGTGACATTATGGCACAGTCCTTTAGACCGCTCCCGTTGTCAACGAACAGAGTTTAGCAAAAGCGGAATAGGCTAAAGAGGACACGGGGGAGAACAGGAAAAGTGGACAACAATTGAAACGACGAGGGCCCCAAGAGGGCAATTGACGTTACCGATTCTATCTCCGCCAGGCGACGTTGGAGCAGAAGATCTCCAGGGCCCTCCGAGGGGTTCTCTTAGGCCTCCCTCGGGGTCCTTTCGATTTGTTTTTTGTTGAGGTCAGGAAAGCTCTCAGGAGGCCCGCGCAGGGCCTCAAGAAAGCACACAGGAAGGCCCCAGCGGGGCCCAGACCCGGCCCGGCAACCTGCCACGCACGGCCTGGACTGTGAAAGGTTACGGTAGGCTCGCACCGCGCTGACGCGGCGGCGTCCCCAGCGCTGGCGTTCAGGGTTGAACGCCAGCGGCCCAGAATCGCACGATGTCGTGCGATCTGCGCTACTGGAAGGCCGCGATCGTTCGAGGTGGAGCGATCCGCACGGTGTCAGACACCAACGCCGACGTCATCACGATGTGAACTTGCCGCACGGTGGGGGCGTTGGGTAAGGACTGTGCCCGGGAGGCTTCGGACCCTGGAGGGTTCCTTGTCTGCTGAGGGCGGCGGTCATGTCCACTGCCAATCCGCGATGTAAGTTCCGCTGGCTTCCAGACCCTGGATTCGTTATCCAGTGCTTCCTAATCTAATGCCCCCACCGTCGCGGATGTGCCGTGTCCGTCGCGTGTGCGCGGCGCTGTGGCTGGCTCGCAAGGAGCGAGTGGTGCCAGCTCCTTGTGTGCAGTGAGTGGCAGCTGCGCGGAGCTCCACTTTTGTGTCGAACGCATGCATTCAGAGCGTGAATTACCTACCCCGCTTTCGCTTCCAGGCAAAACCAAGTTTTGCCACGCGCCTCCTCGTCAGGCGGCCCGACCAGTACAGGCCGTAGTTTGGCATCGCTTGGCATCTCTTGGAAGCGAGGGTGGTCAACAGCGAGGTAGGTTTGTTTGCCCCCTATGCGTGCAAGGGGCCCGCCCGCGAAGTGATACAAACACATGCCCCCCACCTCCTTGGGCCGTGCTGGGGCTCCTCTCGGGACCCCTCTCGGGAGCCCCCCGCGGGCCCCCCGCGGGGCTCTCCACAGAGGGCGAGCCGCGGGGCCTCTGGGCGGCCACGCCGAGGGCCCCCAGGGGTGGCGGCGGAGGGCGCCGCTTCCAGCTCCGCCAGCTTCGGTCGCGGGGCGAGCGGAAGCGGTGGCATCAGGTCGCGCGGCTACTAGCAGGAATCCACGCCACGTCGTGCACACTGAAATTCACGTTGGCTGCCCCCGTGCCAGACGCGCAGCGTTGGCCGTGCAGCACCTTTCGACAGCAGACGCGCGGCATCAGCCAGACGCTGCGCACGGGGAGGAGGAGGAGGAGGAGGAGGAGGAGGAGGAGGAGGAGGAGGAGGAGGAGGAGGGGGAGGAGGAGGAGGAGGAGGAGGAGGAGGAGGAGGAGGAGGAGGAGGAGGAAGAGGAGGAGGAGGAGGAGGAGGAGGAGGAGGAGGAGGAGGAGGAGGAGGATAGAGGGAACAACAATAGTCGGCCAATAATTATGTCGGGCATGTCCCTCTGCAGGACGAAGGCTCGAGGATAGTTTTAAGAATAATCAGGTGGCGAGTTGTCTACGATGTTTTTGTTTGGGCTATTTCCGAGTATGTTTTGACTGATGTTTGAACTTTCGCCCAAATCCGCCTGAAGAAACAAACGACCACCCCACCTGCGGCCCTCTATGTTGCGCTACGGCGCATCGGGGGGCGCAGCGCATACCACGCAAGAGAACAAAAGCCAAGCCACATTTTTCTTGGTGTGCGCTGAGGCTGTTGTGGCCGCAGGTGGGGTGGTGTCGTTTGTTCTCTGGTCCACAGTTTGAGTTGAACCATGCGCTCTCCGGAGCCCCTTTTGGTGCTCTCTCTGGGCCCTCCCCCCTCGAGGTTCAGGGCATTCCGATGGGGGGGGCTTGTGTTTCGTCGGGCCCAAAGGGGCCCGCCTCGGTGGCCCCATGCGCCCCCCCTCGCCAGCCGCAGTGGGCCTCTCCCGTCGGCACCGAGGGGCCGAGGAGACGGGCCCCGAAATGCCGAACGGGCCCCAAGAGGTGCCACTTTCGGCGCCCGTGAAGCTGACACCTCCAGGCCTCTCTGGAGACCCTGTTGGGGCCCTCTGCGGGGCCTGGGAGACACGCCGCGACGTCCCCGGAAGGCCCGAAGAGGACACAGAGAGGGGCCAAGAGGGCCTCAAGAGAGAGAGAGAGCCTCTAGGTCACCTGGAGACGCTGCAGAACCGCTGCCGCGATCAACGCCCCCCTTCCGCATCCTCACCATCATCCTCGCGATCGGTCGCCAGTCACGTGCCAGGGTTGCCAGGGAAATCCTGTGACAGGGCTTTCTTCCCTGGGGCCCACGATCGATGGCATTGGATCTCCTTCGCGCTTGCTGGGGAATGTGACGGGCGACGTCTTGGCCACGCCGCAAGATATGCTGAAATTGGTTCCTGCTGACCCCACCCCCTCTCGTGGGGAGGGTCCTGCAGAAGCCGACTCTGTCAGTGTCCCAAGCCCTAGCTTCTCGGGCCCCTCTCAGTCCGAACTGCCAGCAAGCCACGGCCGTCCACGATCAGGCCGGGTCGATGCACTGATCGCATTTATATATATATAAACAAAACCAGGCATCCGGTCGGCATGTTAGCGTCGCTCGGTGCAGGGAAGGCGGGGACGAGAAGGACGACGCCGAGCTCCAGCAGTGGCGTCCGAGGCCTCGGACGCGGGGGCCGAGGGCGGGCCAGCGTGCGGGCGCTCCTCGCTTGTCGTCGTCTCGCGTGCGCTCCCCCGCGCGCTGTCTTCGGCCTCTGCGAGGCCGCGTCTGGTGCTTCGCTGGCCTCTGGCTGCCGAGCCGGTCGGGCTTTGCGTTGCGCTCGCTGCCCCAGCCACTGCCCCATTTTGCCTTGGTTGCCCGCGGCGTCGTTCGAGTGGGGCTGGGTTGACGACCAGGGTGAGGATGATGATGCTGATGGGGAGCATTGCAGTGATGACAACGATGTTGATGCTGCTGCTGATGATGTTGGTGACGTCGGTAATGATGTTGACGATGCTGATGTGCATGCGGCTGCCGATTATGATGTTGATGGCGATGCTGATGGTGCTGATACTGATGATGCTGCTGATGATGGTGATGGTGAAGATGACGATATCGATGACGATGCTGCCAATTCTGATGATGCTGACTAAGATGCTGTTGCTGCTGCTGATTGTTATGATGGTAATGCTGCTGATGATGCCGATGCTGCTGATGCTTACCATTATGATGGTGATGATGATGCTGATGATGCTGATGATGCTGATGATGCTGATGACGATGATGCTGCTGATGCTGATGCTGCTCATGATGATGCTGCTGATGACGATGATGCTGATGATGATTATTATGGTACTGATGATGATGGTGATGATGATGCTGATGACGATGATGGTGCTGATGACGCTGAGAATGACGATGACGACGGTGATGCTGATGCTGATGCTAATGCTTATGATGCTGCTGATGATGGTGATGATATGATGATGACGGCGACGACGATTACGAACACGATGTCGGTTGATGCTGCTGTTGACGTTGCGGTTAATGATGATATTGAGGTTGGTGTTGATGATGATGACGATGATGAGGGTGGCGCATATGCAGATTACCATGGTGATGCGGATGGTGATGGCGATGGTCCTGATGATGAGGATGCTGATTACGTTGTTGTTATTGATGGTGACGGTGATATGATGATGGTGATGATGGTGATGTTGCTGATGCTGATGATGATGCTGCTGCTGATGATGATGGTGATGATGGTAGTGATGATGATGCTGATGCTGCTGATTAGGATGTTGATGACGATGCTGATGATGATGATGACGATGATGTTGCTGCTGCTGCTGCTGCTGCGGATGATGATGATGATGATGATGATGATGATGATGATGATGATGATGATGATGATGCTGATGATGATGATGATGATGCTTACGAGGATTAAGAGGGTGATTCGTATGATGATGCTGGGGATGACGATGCTGATGATGATGAGGACGATGATGGGGAGGATGAGGAATAGGAGGATCATGATCACGACGCCGATGCTGATGGCGAAGGCGGCGGTGGTCGTGATAGTTAAGAGGATGACGATGCTGCGGAGGAGGAGGACGAGGAGGAGGAGGAGGAGGAGGAGGAGGAGGACGACGAGGCTGTGGGATGAACATGTTTGTGAGGATAGCGGTGATAATTTTGGGGAGGTGGAGGATGATGATAATGATGATGATGATGATGATGATGATGATGATGATGATGATGATGATGATGATGATGAGGATGAGGATGAAGATGAGGATGATGATGATGGTGGTGATGATGATGATGATGATGATGATGATGAGGACGTGGAAGGGGGGGGGAACTGTGGACGCCAAGGTGTACACGCAGCTCTCGAACTTCAAGTCCGAGGCGGGCGTCGCCACGGCGCTTGTCGACTCCGGCCTCTCCCAGCCGAGGGGCCTAGCGCTGGACCACACCCACGGGTACCTCTACGTCGCGGGCCTGGGGCGCCCAGGGGGAGGGGGAGGAGGAGGGGCAGCGGGGAGAGGTCGGCAGTGAGACCGGTAGCGAGATCGACAGCGTGATCGGCAGTGGGATCGATGGTGAGATCGATCGTGAGATCGATAGTGAGGGTGATGGTGAGATCGGCAGTGAGAGCGAATTGTGAGGTCGATATCGAGGTCGATAGTGAGTGGGATAGTGGGATCGATAGTGTGTTCGATAGTCCGAAGGGTAGTGAGACCGATTGTGAGATCGAATGCTAGGTCGACTATAGATCGGTAGTCGTATCGATAGTGATATCGGTCGAGTGATATCGATATTGAGATCGATGGTGAGGTCTTTGCTGAAAGCGATAGTGAGACCGATGTTGAGAGTGAGATCGATAGTGATATCGTCAGTGGGATCGACCGTGAGATCGAGAGTGAGGTCGATAGTAATTTCGATAGTGCTATCGATTGTGGTCTCGGTAGTGAGATCGATTGAGCGAGATGTTCGTCCCCCCGAACCTCCTCATCACCAAAAAGTCGTACAGGTAGTAAAGTTTGTCTGCTTGGCTTTCTGTGGCTCGAGGGGCCTCTAATGCATATTGATGCGGCTTTTAGAGCCTCCTCTGAGAAGGAGCAAGATGAGCGTGATGAGGAGCATGAGGGGAAGTAGGAGGAGGGTGGGGAGGAGGAGGGGCAGCATGAGGAGGGACACGGTGAGGGAAAGCGAATGGGAGGAGGATGCGGAGGAGCAGCAATCGGGGGGGAGGAGGAGCAGGAGGGGTTGAAGGGCCCCCCTTCTCGTCCCTCCTCCCGCTATGTACCCCCCGTCCTCCGTGCCCCTTCCTCCCTCCTCTGTCTCCTGTTGCTTTTCCTCTGTCCCTCCCTGCCGCTCCTCTTTGTCGTCGCCGTTCTTGCCCCGCCCTTCATTCGCCTCCTCCCCCCCCTCCTCAGACAAACAATGTAGCGATGAGTTTCGGACAGTCGGGGGTTCAAGAGTGGGCCCCGACCCCAGAGTACTATGAAGTATCTTTAGGACCACTGCACACAAGACGTACTTTCGGAGAGGAAACAATCCCCATCGATTACCATCAGCCCCCACAGCCCATATGGCTCAACAGCGGCTCAGGTGCGCACTGGCACTAGCGGGGGCATCTCGGAGTGCGGGACGCAGGGGGCTGCTCATGGCCTTCGCCAGCGTCGACAAGCTTTGGCCATGTGGCCGATGCGGCGAGAGGTACGGGTGCCGCAGGATGATCGAGAGCCACAGGGGGCACACCAAGAACGAGCCAGGACATGGAAAGGACCACGGAGGAAAAGGAAGTCAGTGGACGAGGGTGTGCATCGACTGCGAGTTGGCTCTCAGGCAAGAAGAGTGGATCGAGTGGAGCGACGAGGAGAAGCTTCTCCATGGAGGAGGCCAGTACATCACGAAGGAACAAGTGTTCCGCGAGCAGAAGCGGAAAGCCAACGGCATAGCGTGGACTTCTCAATCTTTGGGACAGACCAATGCTGCGAAGGCGTTCGTCGAAGCAGAGGAAGAACCCAACAAGAAATCACGCAACCAGAGGAACAAGAAGGTCATCGAGCGGCCCAAGGAGTTGCCGAAGGAGGGCATCAAGAAGAACGGGGGTATCTTCGCAGCCTTCAGCGCTTGTGACGACGCAGGGGAGCTTCCCCGAGGACGAGCCCATGACATGAAAGACTGGGTTGGACCATACGAGACAGGACTTCGACGAGGACCACGAGAAGTGGCCCGAGCTCGGCTGCAAAGCGAGGTTCCACCCGCGAAAGAATGGGCCATCCATGGTGTGGAGCTCAAGGTGGGAGACAATTGGGCAGCGTTCGTAGCTGAGCGGCCACCGCATGCGCTCGACGACGCCATCAACGGGGGCCACTACAAGTTCTACGACGCGGCCCAGAAGATAAGCCTTGGGGAATTGTGCGAGCTGGTCCCGTCTCCCTGCCCGATGGCGCGCCAAGTCAAGGGCTGCGCACAGCTGGTGCGAGCTTGCGTGGCGGATGCCGAAGAACGACGCGGAGAACCTACAGAGCGTCGTGGAGGTAGTCGCGAGGGATGTGACGAATCTCGAGCAGAATGAGGTCGAGAGGCCCGAGAAACGTCAGGATTTCCGCGATAGCGCTGGCACCGGGATCTTCGAGAACTACGCTGGGGGAGATAAAGCGGCTAGCCCCAGCGGCCGCGCGCGAGGGAGCCTACGCGCGAGGCCAGAAGGAGCGTGAGCGGGGATATCTCGGCGCGCGACCTCAGGCAGACAGGACGAGCTCAGAGGGGCCGCCACTAGCGGGGACATCTCGGCGCGGGGGCCCGCGGGAGAGACGCTCGCACAGACTGGCGTCTTGTTTTTTTGGAGCGCTGACAGGTGCACTACCGCAGGGGGTGACGAGTGGAAAACGCGACCGCCACAAAGGCCACTGGAGTGTATCCCTGAGGTCACCTCCTCCATCGAAACGACAACGGTACGTGTTCGACATGGCAGACAAATTGGGACAACCTCTTACACGTCGTGACCACAATAGGTTTGTTCGCCCCTACTTACACGCCAGATGGAAGGGGTACATCGAGGTACAATTGGTATCTTACAAAAAATGTTGTTACAGAGTGTTGCGTCGCAGGACTGAGTCAGAGACGACATTGCATGGTTCAACCAACGGCCAGCGCGTCCAGGAAGAGCAGTGAGCCCAGAGAGGGAGAGACTCTATCTACTAGGAGCGTGGGCATAGCAGGTCTTGGGTCGATCAAAACTAGGCCCCCCCAGCAAGCTCGGCACGAAGGGGCCTCCTGCATTCTCTCCTCTCCTTCCTGTGTCGAGTGAGGTCGCGTCGTCGTCCCCCCCCCCCCCCCCCCCCCCCCCCCCGCTTGGGAGCCCTTCTCGCCAGCGCGTCCCCATCGTCGTCGGCGCGCGAGAGGGCCAGCAGCTGCTCCCCCCATTGGCTGGTAGGGATTCGTATTCCAAGGCAGCGAGCTTCTCTTGCGGGCCCACCTCGGAGCTCGCCCCTTGAAGCTTCGGGGCATGCCCCTTGCCGACCCCCATGAGAAGTCTGGGTCTGCCGCATGCTGCAATCGCAGAGGATTTTTGTCGTAGTCCACAGCTCCTTTGTAGGTGTAGACGTTGACCCCTCATGCGGATGTCCTGTCTGTCCTGTCCTCCCCCCGTCTCTTCTCCTCCTCCCCCTCCTCCTCCCCCCTCTCTCCCCTTCCCCCCCCCCCTCTCCCCCTCTCCTCCTCCTCCTCCTCCTTCTCCTCCTCTTCCCCTCCCCCTCCCTCCCCTCCTCCTCCTCTCTCCTCCTCCTCCTCCTCCTCCTCCTCCTCCTCCTATCCTCCCCGTCTCTTCCCTTCGTCCTCCCCCTCATCCCCCTTCCATCCTCCTCCCCCCATCCCCCCCCGGCCCTCGCCCCCGCGCCCCTGCCGCCAGCAGCCGGGATCGCCCTGATCGGCTGGCGCACTTTGGCGACTTTTGTCCTCGAAGAAACAGCTGCCAGAGGGGTTGTTTTGCGCCGTCGAGAGAGACAGAGGGGTTGTTTTGCGCCGTCGAGAGAGAGAGGGAGAGCGAGAGAGAGAGAGAGAGATCTTGATATTTGTCTATCCATATATATATACACACATATATTTAGAGAGAGAGGGAGAGAGAGAGAGAGAGAAACAAACAATACAGAGAGAGAGAGAGAGAGAGAGAGAGAGACGGAGGGAGAGAGAGACAGAGAGAGAGAGAGAGATAAAATGGTAAACATCAAAGGAGAGAAAGAGAGGGAGAGAGAGAGAGAGAGAAGGACAGTTACAGAACACAGCTCCCCACTAGATTCGCAGGACACCACTCTCACCCGGCTGATCGTTTTATTCCTGAGGCTCGCTCTGTTATTCCACATGTGCCTTACCGCGGTCGTCATCCGTAGTGGCTCGCTCCCTCCTCCGTAACAAGCTGTTTCGTGCCGTAAGCCTTCCCCCTCTTCGCCCAGGTCGCGGACTCGGGCCTGCGGTCGATCTACCGCTTCCACCTGATATTTCAGGCGTCCCGCTGAGGGCCGAGAGAGCCCTCGAGGGACTACTGGGGGTTACTGCTAACGAGGGTCTCGCTTGACAGCTGCCTGGACAGAAGTGGATCTCGAGCGCCCGCCCCGCGCGTCCTCGGACTATTGGTGTTGCCACGCTACCGCACAAGCGGGAAAATCGCATATTTGGCCTGATGCCTTAATTCAGGCTGAAAGTGGAGAGGGACCAGGGAGGAGAGGGAGGAGGGGTGACCACCTCTCAGCAGTGATGTCCCTGTTTTGCCGAAGCCGCTGTTGTATCAATTTGCCGATTGTTACCTGGGGCGTCCCAGCTGGAGGAAAGCAGAACCCGTTGTTCGAACACATGACAAGTGCAGGCGGCGTGCACGTGGTGGGCGATGCGCAAGATGACGAATGTGGTCTTTACGTGTTATGTTTTCTCTCTCATCTTCTTTATACTCTCCGTTTCCTGCGGTGTGTGCTTTACTCACTACTCTGCACCCTGCCCCTCTACAGCTGGTCTCTATCCTCTGACCTCCTGGCCTCTGCCCACTGCCCTCTGCCCTTGCCTCTCTCTCCTCTGCTCGCTGCTCCCTGACTCCTGAACGCTGCGCCCTGCCCCGTGCTCTCTGCTCTCCGCTCTCTTTCTCTGCTCTACCTGACATGTACACTCCCTCCGCTCACCGCGCTCTCTCTCTCTCTCTCTTTCTCTTTCTCTCCCTGTGTGTTATTATATATATATATATATATATATCTCTCTTTCTTCTTCTGCGCGAGAGCCTGCTCGCGCGGACAGGAAGCCTGCGATGCTCTCCCCCCAGGCGGCGGCGGCGGCCAGAGTGAAGGCCCCCGTCGTGACCCACCAGGGTTCGCGGCCCCAGTCGATGCCCACCAGGACACCGACGCTGTCTCCCACACCCATCTTGGTGGTGCTACCTGACATGTCTCCCCAACGGAGCCCACCAGGGACGGCGCCGAAGCCTCACATGGCAGTAGCACCATCACCACGCCCTCTGCCACCACGCCAGCACACACGCAGTACCAGTTCGAGGGCAACGATGATCAGAGGTTCAGAGAGCTCTGTGCCCTCATTGATCGCTGTCTTTTCGACAACGTCGAGTGCGATATGTTCGTGAGCATATACGAGGATCTCGCCCAGGACCTGGTCAGCGGGTACGAGCTTGGGTAGGCCTGGGCCGCGTACGAACCAGACGGAATGACAGTGAGGGCTCTGTACGACTTCATCGTCGTGGAAGGCCTCTGCCCCGTCCCTCCTTAGACGACATCTTCCTCGGACGCGACCTGAGGTAGTCCGCCGAGCATCTGGTCGTACAAGAGCCCGCCAGGGCCAAAGCAATGACCGACGATCCGTGGGACTCTGTCGATATCTTCCCAGCAGCTGCCACGGTGGGAGTGACCGCCACTAAGCTACTAGCCTGGACTCCGGCGCTGTAGCCAGCGCCAACCTCCACGGGTGCGCCCACCGGAGTGGAGCCCAGGGAGGAGCCAGCCACATTCCGGCGCGGCAAACGCCAGTGTCAGCACCACCGCCACTTAGAATGTCACCAGCCTCCACGGCAGCAGTCACGCGAGCTGATGTCTCGGATGACGACTGGGACCCCTGGGACGAGGTGGACCTTCCGAACAGCGTGCCTGGTAGCCCTGGGACCCTGTCGTTCGCCCTCAGGACTGAGCCTGGGCCCACCGGGGCAAGTGCGCGGCCCACCAGGGCCGACGCACTGCCCAACATCACAGGCCTCGTCCCTCCACCCGGGCCTCCGCCCATCCAGGAACGCACCGAGGTAACGGTCATTAGCCAGGTAGAGAATTTCAGTAATGCCTACACGGCAGTGTCATCGGCCGCACGGCGGATCAGAAACACCATTGGGTGGTCCTGCCGACCAATGGCGGCATTTCTTCCGTTCTCACGTCAAGTCTGATTCCATTCCCCCTCGGAGCCGAACCCCCCCAGAGGAGGCCAGGCGGCCGGGAGGTGACACTGCACCAACACCAGCTCCCAGGCCAACAGAGACGCCAGCCCCGTCGACCGCGGGGACTACGGCTGAGCCACTAGGCCCGACTGCGTAGGCGGAAGCCCGTGACAGCGCTTGAGTTCCATCGCAGGTGCCAGCTGTCGCGCTCACCTTGGGGCTTAGCCCGCGGCAGCGGGAGCGCCTTCACAAGCTCCGCTTGGGCGTTTTTTGGCATAGGCACCGACGCGCGACGCGCACCGCAACCCTCCGCTGGCCAACCTCTACCTGGCATCCCAAAGGGTAACGTGGAGGCCCCGCGTGAGGCCGTCGGAGCGACCCCCGACGAGTTCCTGACCGAAAAAAGGGCCAGAGAAGGATACCGGTGACGCATCCACCAGCGGGGGTGATGCCTGCGCGGGCGGGATCCCTTATTCTCTTGGTCCCGATTCTTCCTCTCTGCGCAGCTGCGGCTGGGGCGCCCGGATTGCTCATGACACAGGGTGTGCGTTGCGGTACAATTATGTCCTTCTTAATGTCGTGGGGTGCTCGACGGTTTTAGCTTGCCGCGGCTCGTACGTTTCGCTAGAGCCACTGGACCACGCTTCGCAGAGCTCCCCTCCAGTGCGCCACTTCAAAGGCTTGGTCATTGCGAACACACGCCTTGTCCTCCGTGTCTAGTCCACCAGGGTTCGCGGGCATGGACGCCAGCAGCCTGGCACCCATGATTGCGACGAGCAGCGCAACGAGCACCAATGTGTGCAGCACGTGCGCGACCGGATCCTCGACACTGAACAGCGCGATGGAGTCGAGCACCACGGCGTCGAGAAGCACGACGGGACCCTGCATCAGCAATCTCGCATCTACCAGTGTGGCGAGCATTGCATAGAACACTGCGTCTTGCAGCGCGTCTGGCACCAGCACCTGGACAGCGAGCAGCGTGACGGAGGCGAGCACCACTACATTGAGCACCACGGCGGGAACCAGCACCAGCAGCCTCGCATCCACAAAGGAAACGAGCTGTGCAACGAGTGGCACGTTTCTGGGCAGCGCGCCCAGGACCAGCTCCGCGACGCTGTGCAGCACGACGGAGTCGAGCACCACCGCGATGTGCAGAACGACGGGTATCAGCATCAGCAGACTCACGCCTACGCGTGGGACGAGCAGTGCGCCGAACACTGTCTTCCAGCAGCACTTCTGCAATCGGAGCCTCGACGCTGAGAAGCGCGACCGAGTTGGGCACCGCGGCGTTGAGCAAGACGAGCAGAGCAACGATCATCGCGTCTTTCAGCAGCACGTCAGGGCTCAGCGCTTCGACGCAGAGCAGAACGGCGGAGCCGGCGAGCATCCAGACGGTCTCCGGCATCAGCAGCCCCGCATTCGCGCGTGGGACGATCAGTTCGAGCGTCGAGCAGCGCGACGGGATCTGGCCCATGTCAGCAGCACTTCTGCATCCATTACTTGACGCTAAACAACGCAACGGAGCTGAGCGCAGCGGCGTTGAGTAGTAAGACGGGATTGGGCACCAGTCGCCTCATATTTTCAAGTCGGACGCGCAGTGCAACGAGCGCCGCGTCGTCGAGCGGCGCGCTGGGGGGCAGCGCCTCGACGCGGAGCAGTGCTGCGGGACTTGGCATAGCGAAGCTGTGCATTACGACGATTCAGCGCCAGCAGCCTCGCGCGTGCGAGTGGGCGAGCAGTGCAACGAGCATGGCGTCTTCGAACTGCGTGTCCGCGGCTATAGTCACTATTGCAGCGCGATGATACCTAGTACTGCGATGGCGAGCAGTTCGACGGGGTTCATCCCCCATAGCCTTGCCTTCGCGAGTGAGACGAGCAATGCGTCGAACTCCGCGCGTTCCTACTGCGCGTCTGCGACTGGCATCTCGACGCTGATCAACGCGACAGAGTCGAGCGCCGCGACGTTCAGCAGCGCGGCGGGGTTCGGCGACAACAGCTTCGCATTCATCAGTGGGGCGAGCAGTGGAACGTTCGCTGCGGCTTTGAGCGGCGCGACAGCGACCTGTGCCTTGACACTGAACAGCACTGCGGGATCCAGCTTCTCGACGCAGCGCATCAAGACGGGGCTCAGCACCGGCGGCTTCGCATCCACGAGCAGGGCGAGCAGTGCAGCGACCGTCGCGTCTGAGCAGCGCGTCCTGGGCTGGGGCCGCGACGCTGCGAAGAGCGAGAAAATCGAGCGCTGCGACGTCTGCGGCGTGGCGGGGGTGGCCCCGGCAGCCTCGCGCCCGCGGGTGAGACGGGCAGTGCGCCGAACGCCGCGTCTGACAGCAGCGCGCCGGGGGCCGGCGCGTTGACGCCGAGCAACGTCGAGCAGCGCGACGGGGGCCAGCACCAATGGCCTCGCATACACGCGCGAGACGAGCAGCTCATCGAGCGCCGCGTCTTCGAACAGCGCGCCAGGGACTGGCGCGTCTGACCCCTCGACGCCTCGTCTTCGAACGGCGCGAGGGATCAGACACCGCGACGTTTTGCAGCAAGAGGGTGCCCGGGGCCGTCGGCCTCACATCTACGAGTGCTACGAGCAGTGCACGAGCATCGCGTCTTTGAGCAGTGCGACTGGGGGCCAGCTCCGCAACGCCGCGAAGCGCGGCGAAATCGAGCGCTGCGACGCGCGGCAGCGCGACGGGGCCTATCCCCAGCAGCCTCGCACATGTGTGAGACGAGCAGTGCGTCGAACACTGCGCTTTTCAGCAGCGCGTCTTCGACCGGCACCTCGGCGCTGAGCGGCGCGGAGGAATCGAGAACTGCGACGTCGAGCAGCGCGACGGGAACCGGCGCCGCCAATCGTGCAATGAGTACCGCGTCTTCATTCGGCAGGTCAGCGACCGGCGCCCCGACGCTCGAGCAGCACGGCGGAAGCGAGCGTCGTGACGTCGCGCATTCGAGACCATGCGCCAGCGGCCTCGCGCCCACGAGTGAGACGATCGGCGCTGCGAGCATTGCGTTCCTCAGCGGCGTGTCCAGGACCAGCTCCGCGGCGCCGTGCAGCGCGACGAAATCGAGCGCTGCGACGTTGTGGAGCGCGACGGGATCCAGCGCGCGCAGCCTCGCGCCTACGAGTGGCACGAGCAATGCGTCGGGCTCCGCGTTTATAAGCAGCGCGCGCGCGACCGTCGCCGTAGACTGAGCAGCGCGACGGAGCTCATCGCCACCGCGCGGGGCAGCGCGCTGGATCCAGCACCGACAGCCGCGCGTTTACGAGCGGGCCGAGCAGTGCGAGGGCGCCGCGTCCTTGAGCAGCGCGTCGGGGGCCAGGTCTCTCTGCCTCTGAGCAGGTCGACGAAATCGTGCGCCGCGGCGTTGCGCATCAAGACGGGTCTGGCACTTGCGGCCCCGCATCTACATGGCGGACGCCTTGTGCAATGAGCATCGCGCCCTTGTGAAGCTCGACTCGACTGAGGCCGTCACCTCCACGCTGCGCAGCGCGTCGAAATCGATCGCTGCGACGTCGGGCAGCGCGGCGGGATGCAGCGCCGGCGGCCCCGCGCTTGCGAGTGAGGCGATCAAGGCATTCGGCGCCGCGTCTTTCAGCGGCGAGTCTGTCGCTTGCGTCCGGGCGTTGATCGGCTCGATAGAGTTGGGCGCCGCGATGTTGTGCAGCGTGGCGGGGCCTGGCGCCAGCAGTCTCGCGCCCGCGAGTGAGTCGAGTGGCGGAATGGGCGCCGCGTCTCTGAGCGGCGCGTCGGGGCTCAGCGCGGCGACGCTGAGCAGCGTGATGGGGTCGAGCGCCGTAGCGCTGAGCTGCGCGGCGGGATCCAATGCCGGCCGCCTCTTGCCCGCGAGAGAGATTAGCGGTGCGGCGAGCGCCGCGTCTTCGAGCGGCGCGCCCGGGGCCGCCGCCTTGGCGCCGAGCGGCGCGGCGGGGCCCAGCTCGGCGCCGGGCAGCGCGGCGGGGCTCGGCGCCGGCAGCCTCGCGCCTGCGAGCGAGACGTGCGTTGCTAGCAGCGCGCCGAACACCGCGTCTCTTAACGGCGCGTCTGGAGGCTGCAGCGCGATTGCGAGCAGCGCGACGGAGTCGGTTCTTCCTTGGCGGTTCTGGCCGCGCCCGCCAGGGCGACTGCTGGGAGGTCGCCGGCCGCTCGGCGCCTCCAGCGGAGCCCCTGCCAGGCGAGGCCCCCCGGGGCACCGCGACCGCCGCCTGTCAACTGGCGATGTCCGCGACCGCGCGGCGCCGCGCCGCGCGGAGGATTGCTCGGACCCTCTCGGCGGCCCCCCCGGGACTTGGCGGAAAAGTGGAGGTGGGCTGGCGCGGCCGCGCGACTTCCCGCGGCGCGCGCCGCGGCGTCCTCCGCGACTTCTTCTCGCAGCGGCGCGGATGAGCACGGCCCTCGCTGGCCAGGCCCGCCGCCCAAGCCCGCGGGGGGGCTGGCAGGCGCCGGCGCGCGCCCCGCACCTCGGCGGAGCAGCTCCGCCCGCCGGGCCCGCGCCTGGCCCCGCGAGGGAACGGGGACTAATACAGGCCCTGCGACCATGCGCGGTCCACCGTCCGGAGACGGCCCGCGCGCAACGCCCCCTCGCTCTTCCCGCGCTCGATAATGCACGAGGCGACCGCGCCTCGGGGGGCCACCTGGGCCCCGCCCCCGGCGCCGGGCCGCCCGCGGCGCGCGTTGCATCGGGGCTCGACCGGGCGGAGCGTAGTTCAGCCTTCGCCGCCCCTCCCGCCGCTGTAGCCGCGCGCCCAGCGCTTGCTGGGCCCCCGACGCCAACGGTTTGTGCGAGGACCTGCGCGTGGCTGGCGAAGAGTCGAGGACTTGGCTCTGGCGGGCAAGCGCCGTCGCCGCAGCTCGATTCGCTGGGCAGTGCTACCGCGCGCCCATCCCCTCAACGCAGCGCGCCCTGTCGTCGGCGCGTCGCCCCGCCCCGCGAACGCAGGCGCAGGGGCTCGCGGCCTCGGCGCCCGCCCGCCAGGGCGCAGGCGCCCGCGCGATCGCCGATCGGAGACGCGCCTTCGCGCGACGCCCCACGGTTGCCAGTCGACGGGCTGACCTCAATCGCGAGACTGCCCTCGCCACCATAATCAACGGGCGACGCAGGGCCAGCGCCATTGACGACGGCGCGGGGGCTTGCCGAGGTATCAGCCCCTCGGAGCGCAATGGTAGGCCAGTCGACCAGGGGTGCCGCCGCGGATGCACCTGGCCCGCCGAGCAAGTGGATCCGCGCCGCTGCGTCGCCCGATCAGACGGGCACCAGCCCAGACTGCGCCGCCGTCGCATTCCATTGGGCAAGCGACGATCCCATTCGAGATCCCGTCAAGACCACGGCACGCCCGATGACCCCACCTAGGATGCAGACGTCGATGGAGCGTACCTCCAGGCGATGCAGCAGTGTGCTACCAGCCTTGTTCATAACGTGCGTGGCATCCAGGAGCAGTCATGACACCGTCGTAAGATATTCGGAGAAAAAACAATCCGCGTGGTAAGACCATCAGGCCGTCCAGTCGCCTGCTCACCTTGTGGCTTCTCCTCAGGCAAGCCTCCAGGCTCGCCTCGATGCCTACTGTTAACCGCTAACGCACAAGTGCTAGACATTCCATATTCCCGAGTGCGCTGCGCGAGCTGTTGGGAAGTGCTCCGTAGCCCTAGCGCTTGGCCGTTGAGGCGATGCCCCAAGGCGGCGCCTCGGCTCGCTGAAGTAATTACCGAGGCGCGCATGGCAACGCGCGCTTGAAGCTGGCGTGCCACTCCGTGATCGCAACCGGACCGCCTTGTTTTCCAGTCGGGGTCTTTTACAGACCGCGCCAGCGGCAGGAATTCTCCACCCTTGTACATTGTGCAGCGCCTCCCGCCACTGCGAGGGAAGCTTGGGCGGCAGTCAGCCCCGCTGGGCCTGGACGAGCTGCCGCCCAACCGTTTCGCTCTTGTTCTATCTCTCTTCTCTTTCTCGACTTCCCAGCCACCAGCTAGACTTGAGTGGGCTCTTTCAATGAGACCCGGAAGGAGGAACCCAGGATCCCAGCTTGCCTCCGAAATCCGGCACACTTTCGTCAATTTAAGGGTTCTTACTCGGAAGCTTCAAGGGCCCGGCAGTGGGGCCCGCCCCGGGGTGTTCCCCCAGTATCCGCCCCGCGGTTCCTCCAGTTACGTCACCTTAGCTTAGCATTAGCATAGCGTAGCATATCATAACATAGCCAAGCGTACCATAGCATAGCATAACATAGCGCAGCACAGCACAGCACAGCATGGCATAGCATACCAGAACATTGCATAGTATAGCGCAGCTTAACATAGCGTAGCATAACATAGCATCGCATAGCATAGCATATCTTAGCATAGCACATCGCAGCATGGCATAGCATAGCTTGACATATCGTATCATAGCATAGCATAGCGCAGCAAAGCATGGCATAATATAGCATAGCATAGCATAGCGCAGCATATCATGACACAACATATCATAACATAGCATAGCAACTAATGCTGCTTTCCTAGGGGTTCCAACTTCTAGGTAGGGTCGCACTGGGGTAATTTATAATGCCGGGAGCCTTTCAACTGGAGAGCCGCAACAGGGATCCCAGGAACATGATCACCAACCGATGTCGGCCTGGTTTCACCGCCATTCCCTGACAGCAGTCGCTGGGTCCATTTGAATATGAGCATTGGTGGGGATCTCTTCTTTGGGGTGCCTTTTCGGGATCACCGCCATCGAGGTTTCGCTCAGCACTTGACGCAAACTGAGCCCGCCTCCAGTCAACCACCGATGGGACGAGCACCCTGACCACGGACGGCGTGCAGCTCACGATCGTGACGGACCGCGACGTCGATTGGGTCACGACCGACATCAACGGCGACGTTTTCTTTTCGGACAAGACTAATCGGTTCGTCGGCCACCTTACCTACGCGACGATCGAGATGTTGGCGAAGGCCAGGGGCTTGGAGCATTCAGTTCGAGGAGGACGAAAAGGAAGAGGAGGAAGAGGAAGCTGGAGGACGAGGAGGAGGAGACGGAGGAGGATTGGGTAGACCTAGGGCTCGAGTTTCTCAGGACAAGGGCTTGCCGTCGCTTTTGAATGGCCCCAGCGTGAATTTTGATGGATCGTTTTTCTCGACATGTTTGCAATCGGAGGTTGTGTTCATTGTTTAACTCGGCCATTTTTTTCCGACGGCCCCGTTGGACAAGTTTGGCCCCCCAC